TCTTCTTCTTCTTCTTCTTCTTCTTCTTCTTCTTCTTCTTCTTCTTCACTTTTATTGAATTTATATTCAATTATGTGAAATTACTCCACTTGATTATTATGTTGTACAGCACATGATAAAAATAAGTCTTTTATCTATGTCAATGAAAATAAAAAATATTATTTAGCTCTTATTTTCTTAATTTGTACTGATTACTTGAACAGTTTATAAACATTCAAAGTTTTAGTCATGATACAAAGCAGCGTTAAAAATAAACAAAATAACAAAACAAGATTTTTTTTATATTGGTCATTAATAGGCATACTATACTTATTATCGAGGTCTATCAAAATTATCGAAAATAATAATTGCGCAATATTGTGGGAACTTTAAAATCACAATTATTTTTTAATGTGTTTTTCATGACATTCCACGTATACTGAATTCTAATAAAATAAAAATAGAAAACAAAATAAAAAATATAGTTTCCTTTATTTAGGTCTGCAAGAGGAAATTTTTGTTACAAACAAGCAGAACCTTTTGTTTGTATGTTCTTAAAACAAATAAAAGGTAAACTATTAAATAAATAAGAAAAAGTCTGACTTTTTTTAGACCAGGTACTAGGGTACTACAGTAACCTACTTCTTATCAGTATCAATGGTTTGACATCATCAAAATCTTCATCTTCTGTTTCCGGCTCCTCTGCAAGCCATTCTGATTCTTCGTAACATATTGTCTTCAACAAATAGTGTACTAATAAAGAATTGAATATTATATTACACGAAATAATGTTCTTTTGTAAGTAATATAGTACTCACCCAAATGTGAAATACTCACCCAGGTTTCAATTTCATTGCATGAAATTTTCTGGAACACGACAGAGCAGACAGATTTGTGGTCTCAGACGAATCTGAGACCGCAAACACAAATAAAGACACATATGCGCTCATGACGAACGTCACAGGGCTACTTAAGGAAAGTACTTTCACCTCCTCAAGGATATCATGGTCGCGCAACCATCTATTTTGTATAGTTTTTTGTAAATGACTAAAATAAAAATAAGGTCGCTGCGGTCTTCGAGTCCGTGCGCGACCGCTAGAAGGAGAAAAAATATTATAATTATGTTAAAAAAGTTGCATAAGATAGATTCCTAAGTTCGCAATATTAGAGCGATAGGTGCACGAGCACATTCCGTTCCTCTCGATCGTATATATTCACTTACTTGCAAAGAACTCTCATCAACGTGAATGGCCCAATTTCTTCATAAAAACACAACATAAGAGTCAAGTCACGACTTAAACAAACGATAACACAGTTTGCCAAAAAAGAACCATTAATAAAATTTCGAATTAGTCATTCAATTAGCCATGCAATGTAGTTTTGTCGTAAAAACACGATACGTTACTTTTTGTTCTCTTACGATGCTAAGCGCACTGCAGTGCGTTAGCCAAGTATTCAAAACTCCGCTCTGACTTTTTACCCGACTACCGCGAAACCATTTAACAGTTTAACGAATAGTTTAATTTACAACATAAAGATGCCCAGTGCCGCTTCATAGATAGTGACTACAATACAAACAACTGATTTTTAACCTAAAAACCTAACCTAACCTAAAAAAATCCCACTATGTATCGTGACCGGCTCAAAAGTTCCCATTATACTGGCAGCATTGCCTCGGTGGACACCTGCTGAACCAACCACGACCCAGAGCGCTCTTTTAATAAGTCCCGAGCTTTCGAACCCCAGGGCCCCGCCGTCTTGATTGCAACCGGTACAAGTTGTACATCGGCTCCAAAGCAGAATATTTAGCATGTTTTAGTTTCGCGGCATTTTCAGCCGCGGAACCTGTCAACCGCGTAGTTTGTCTCATAGAAGACAACGACCTTTCCGCCAAGGAACTATCGTCAAACTGTCGGGCCTTTTACAGTCGAATCGGCTCAGGGGGTCTACTTTCGATCTCCGTCCGACATCCGTCCGAAACAATTACTGCCAAATACTTGACCAAATGAAAAGACGCGTGATGCGAATGAAGCTTCATACTTGATACTTGTCTTTTAATTTTGTCGAATATTACTTATTTGACAGTAATTGTTTCGGACGGATATCGAGAGTAGACCCCCTGACCCGGGGGCGCGAGCACGCAAGGGACAATAGCCAGACACCATCGCGATAGTTTAAGGTGTTTTTTAATGTATGTTACCTAACACGGATGATGTGAATGATGTAGCGCGGTATATACCACCACTATAAACGCTACCGTATCAATGGCATTCTGTAATACTTGGTATAGTGGTGAAAAGATTAGCCAACCAGTATAAGGTCCTTTAAAGGTACCACTTGACGGGATTTACCTTGTTGATAAGTCCCATGTGCCTGTAATTTTACCGACTTTTAAATGCTTGCTTAGCGGTAGATTATTATTTATTTATACGTTTTGGGAAAGTTCACGGACAAATAATACAATTATAGTTATACTTAAATATGGGTAATCCAATACCAAAATTAAGAAGAGGTTTTGTATTACATTTACGTATTTTTTTTTTCAATGAATTCATAAATTTATTGGCTACAGAACTTGGTTAGCCTTAGGCACATACATGCGTTTTTGCGACAATTTAAAATAAAATGGATTTATATTCTATTACGTATTTTCTCTTATAGCGTTTTCTTGTTACGGCTATTGATATGCAATTAGTTTATTAATTAGTGCCTTAATTGCACCGAGGGTAATAATGAGTAATTAAACTGGAATAATAAACTTTGATTTCTACTACGATTTTTATTTCCTGTAATCAACCAATACGCTTTGTATATATGTAATCATTTAAATGCTTCAATGATGATGGAGTAAATGTTTACAAAACATATTGTAATAGTTTTTAGGGTTCCGTAGTCAACTGGGAAAGTTTGTTAACTTTGCTTACGTTTTCGAGAATTCCTAATGAAGTCATACGTCAGAGAACTCAAGTGACCGACGTATTTCGCAAAGTCATTTAGGGTAGGAGTCGATACTACTCGTACTTCAGCACCGATCCGATTCAAATTCTTCCCCTACTGAATCGTTTGTATTGCGTGGGTAGAACAGCAGGGACAGGATTTCAGAATTATTTTTTTACTAACGAAATTAAACCATTTGAAAAATGTATGACGTATAATATACATACGTGTTGTATTTAGTTCAGTTGATATTAAAAAATTCAATGGTATTATGTAAAGTAGGTACATATTGACTACAGCGATTTTCTTTACAAAAATTCGAGGTTAGTTTAACTATACCGTGGACATTTTTAGAAATCGTGTTTTCACACCGCATACTGTATCAGTGTACTAATTTTACTATATATAATTTATAAAAATATAATTTTACTTTATATTTTTTCCAAACACTTTCATTGGTTCGTATTCGGTTTACGTAAATATGACCATATCTCTGAATTTCGGACTAAATTGAAATGGCTCCCAATCCGACTTCGCCGAGATATGCACGTTCTTTGTCTACTTTATAAAATTTTAAATTACCCCCAGCTTCCTCATTATCTGTTTTCCCGTTTTTCCCCCTTATCCCCCAATTCCCGCCCAAAACGTACCTGTGACACTAGAATACTTTTATATCCCCAATCCAACTCCAAATTCTTTCACAATTCTTTTACCGTAAGTGCAGCTCGTATGTGGAATAAACTACCTGCTAGCATTCGTGATAGTCCATCGGTGGCATCTTTCAAACACAAATTAAAAGAGCACTTCCTGTCGAACGCGTTAGATAGTTTATAGGTAACATATTTGTAAACAAATGATCTGTTATTATAATATATATTCTGCTTATGTATGTATTTATGTATATAAAGTTCATTTATGTGCATATGTCTGTCGTATGTATATTATTATCATTTATATTTTATTTACATTTAAATTTAAATTTTGTTGTACATTAATTAGTCCCGCAGACTTCATTTTTGCACCACGGCTAGGGTTGGCTGGAAGAGATCTCTTATAGAGATAAGCTCACCTTTGTATATGTCCATTGTAACGTGTGTTTCATGTGTCTTTTCTTTGTACAATAAAGAATATATATTGTTATGCGGAATCAATCAAATCCATTATAATTTTAGTTGTATCTACAAGTTGTAAACATAATTTGAAAACAATAAAGTGTTCTTCTTTTTTTTTACTAAAAAATACTTTTCACGTCCCTCTCACCTGATGGAAAGTGATGATGAAGTCGAAGATGGAGCATGCACACCTAAATAATGCCTTTTCACTCTCGTCTTGAAAAGGACCAAGTTATAACGTTCAGGGAACAAGTCTGCAGGCTGGGAATTCCACTCCATAGCCGTTCCCCATATAAATGTGGAAGCGTATCGCTTCGTGCAAATTGTTGGAATATCCACAACATAGGGGTGGAACCCTAGCCTACGTCTGGTCCCCCGATGATGGAAAGGGGAAGGCAGAATTAATTCGTTATATATCCTGTAGAATACCGATAAGCAGGCAACTTTACGACGGTGTTCAAGGCTTTGCAGCTGCGTCTTCACTAATTCTGAGTCACCTATAAGCCTCTTGGCACATTTGTCGATTGGTTCCAAGGTGACTTGGCGTGTAGCAGAGCCATCCCATAGGCAGCAGCAGTACTACACACACGACCGGATTTATGCTTGGTTCAGCTGAAGCAACTTTCCCAGTGTGAAGTAACGTTGTACCCTGGAAAGGATGCGAAGCTTTTTGGCTGCATTTGCGACCATGTTAATTACAGTATTAATGTTCTATATTGAAATAACCTTTGTTAAATGGAAGTAATACTTACGTATAAATATGTTTATACCAGGATCGTTTGTTTTTATATCTTAATTAATAATATTAATAACGCACACATTCATGACCCCGCACTAGGGAAACCCTGTATCGCGGGTGCCATTTACACATACATAGACAACCACATACTACACTTAAACTCACGAGATAAATAAATGTAGGCCATACAAATATCTGTGGCTTAAGTGAAAAGTGGCACAAGTCTAAAAAGTATATATTATAAATAAACGCGAAGAACACTTAATGCTTAATATCATATTATTCTCTCAGTCTCGTTGTAAAGTTGGATTTTTTAACTTATACATACACCTTTTCACATTCCAGGCTGGTAACTGTTCGGCGACGGAGGCAGTTATTGAGGAGGGAGGTAATTGTGGAGTACGATTTTGAAAAAGAAATTAAATGCTGAACAATTTTGAATTTGAGGCACTCTTCTAATAACCACAAACACAACAATAAACACGTCTTATATTTGATCTCATTTTTGAAATATAGAGCGAATAACGCTTCAATTCTGTGTGCACCGAGAGATTGTGCGAATGTGTGCGTCAGACGTTTGTATCTGGTTACCACACTTCTGCCGCTATTTAAGTAATAGCGGCGCCCACATGCGCCCTTCTAACGGCGGCAGACTTGCTTTATTATACTATGCTTATACCGCTCTTCTTTTTGGGTCGGAGGTTAAAAATAGACATATGTCAATATCAGACTTCAAATAAAACTTGTTAGCTACGAATGAGGCGTACAACGGCTCACCTTTCGGTAGATTCCCTCTGTTATCCCATCTATTACTTTTCAAAATATTATACTGTGTCCAAAAAAATAATACCGTATGTTTTAGGACAACCGTGATCTTGGGACCTGAGGGTCTTCTCTCGATCTCCGTCCGACATCCGTCCGAAACAATTACTGCTAAATAAGCAACATTTGACCAAATGAAAAGACGCGTGATGCGAATGAAGCTTCATACTTGATACTTGTCTTTTAATTTTGTCGAATATTACTTATTTGACAGTAATTGTTTCGGACGGATGTCGGACGGAATTCGAGAGTAGACCCCCTGTAAAGGGCCCGAAACGTCGGTTTGTTTGAAAAAACAAATATACGCGATTTAAATGCTGAAAAATAGTTTCATTTCCTATGTGTAACAATCGCGAAAATCTAGAACTCGATACCGTATGTTTTTTTATGAGATTAAGAAAAACGATGTTATATTGTTTCATTTATTTTTTCCGGCTGAAGTTTAGTGATTAGATTTTAATTACTCTCAAATTTAGAAAGTCGCTTTGTCGGTGTGAAGAAAGTGATACCCTTCAAGTTTTTCCTTTATGAAATTCTGATTCAAATGTACAAATACTTTCTTATACCCTTCAAGTAAGTAACTTTTTTTATAATATCAAGTGACGGGACGAACAAGTCGTGCGCCTAATGGCAAGCTAC